CCTCTAATAATGCCAACAGTGAAACTCGCTGTGTAGAATTAACTCAACAACGAAGGAAAACATCGAAATGGCGTATAGTGTCGTACAGTGTCGTATAGCCTTATATATTGTTGTATAGTCTTTTATAACGTTGTCAGTATAGTGTCGTATGGTGCCATATAGCCTTAAATAGTGTTGTATAGTCCTTGTATACTGTTGTATAATGTTGCATAGTGTCGTTTTATAGTGTCATGCATATAGCCTGATATAGTGTTGTATAGTCTTGTATAACATTGTATAGTGTTGTTGCTGCGGAGCGAGCGAGCCTGAAGCGAGCGAGCGTAGCAGCATTCTAATATGTGCAGAGAGGGGGTTTTGAACTAAATTTTATTTAGCGCATGGAATTGTGGTCGTGCGCGCTTTCTATGCGCAGAACACAAATTTTAAACTCGCTCGAGTCTTCGAATTTTTATCGAATTTCTAAAGCTTTTTCAAGTCTAATGTTACGCTTTTGGGCTTTGGCCACTGTCAGTTCTATATTTTTATAAAGTTTTGGTTTCTTAGTATGGTAAATCTGTGTATATAGTCTGTATAATGTGATAAATGCGCTTAGCAGTAAACAGACTTGATATGAAACCTGATCTTAATTTACCTGTATGTCAATGAGACGCACATGTTTAATATCTATATACCTCTGATTGCCCTTTAACCCCTGGTCTTTGCTACTACAATATATATTGCTTCTTCTCAGTTCCATTCACAGCTCACTAGTCGCGCGCTGCGAGTAATCACTGTGCTTGATATAATTTGTGTGACAACATTTTCTATGTGGGAGATGTGGAAAAAAGTCTTTTTAGAGGTCCTGGATAAGCATGCACCACTTCAAAACAAAAAGATAAAATCAAAAAGTGTCCCTTGGTTTACAAGCAAAATTAAAATGCTCATAACCGAAAGAGATAAATTGAAAAGAAAAGCAATTATTACTAATTACAAGAATCTGATTGGCTCATTTATACAAAAGCCAGAAATCAAACAAATATCGAATTAAGGAAAGCCAAAACAGACTATTATTCTAAACAGATTGCTAACCAAAAGTGCAATCCAAAGCAGGCTTGGAAAACTATTAATAGTTTGATCGGAAAGGGTAAGAAACCCACGATTATAAATGAACTAATTATTAATGAATCTAAATTAACAAATCCTACAGAGATTGCAGAAGGGTTAAATGAATTCTTTGCAAATGTTGGACCAAACTTGGCAAGCAAGTTGGATGAATCTAGCTGTGACTTTCAAAAGTATACTAAAAGTTCTGAATCCGAGTTCACTGCATTTACACCAATTGCGGTAAACAAAATTTTTGATATTTTAAGGTGGCTCGATACAGTTTTCAAAAATTCAGGTGTTCAACACTTTGAAATGTTCAAACTATGCATTTTTAGAATATATTCGGCAGATATTGGGTTTTTTATATATTTCGATATCTCTACTTTCAAATTATATTAGTTTTAGTAACAGATAGTTCGTTGCTATGACGACATACGTGTACAAAATACACTCCAAAATGGCCTTTCGTCTCGTATAGTTGGAAAAGAAGCATGGTGACCCCCAATTTTTTTCTTGCATTATTGTACTTGGACGAAAAGCTAACAATTAGCAAAATATAAAAAAATTCTGTAATGCCATTTTTTTGGAAAATGCGAAAATGTCATATTCTTCGGTAAAATTTTTTTGGCATTACAGAATTTTTTTATTTTTTGTATAATGAAAGTTTTTAGCGGTGCAATACAGCATGCAAAATTTGAACATAGGTCACCAGACAAAATAAAGAGATATAGCGCATTGTTTTTCTAAAATGGAAAATTCTAATGACGTCAGCAATTGACATAAAACGCTATATAGAACACGCGAAATGACGTGAGATGGCGCGAGCAGCTGCTTACGTCAGGTCATTTTGGAAGTTCTGTCATTTTGTTAATCAGTTTCCGCGACCTGCGCGTAAAAATGGTCACCCGGTTTTGAGTTCGCGATTCTTGAGCAGGGTTTTCGTGATAACTATATCGAGCCACCTTAAGAGGGCTGTCTTGTAACAAAGCATGTGGTGTTGACAAAATTTCCAGTAAAATTCTTAAATTAGCATCACCAGTTATTTCTGCTACACTTACATATATTTTTAATCAAAGTATTACTCTTTGCAGCTTTCCAGATGAATGGAAAGTAGCTAGAGTTTTACCTCTTCATAAAAGTGGTCATCGTAATATTCCTGGTAATTACAGGCCAATATCGATACTACCAGTCATAAGCAAAATCATGGAAAGATTACTGTATGACCAGCTGTATGATTATTTAACTAAAAACGAAATTCTCTCTGATAACCAATTTGACTTTCGAAAGTTTCACTCCACCGCTACGTTCCTTTTAGATTCAACAAATAGTTGGTATGTTAACATGGATCGAAAAATGTTTAACTTAGTAGTTTTTATAGAGTTTATATAGTTTTTAACTTAGTAGTTTTTATAGTTTTAACCGTAGATCATGAAATTCTACTTGAGAAAATGCAAATTTACGGTATTAAGGATAAGGCACATTTGTTGTTGAGATCATATCTTACTGATCGCATCCAAAAATGCCAAGTAAATGGTGTTGTCTCGTCTGAACACAAAGTCAAGTGTGGTGTTCCTCAAGGCTCCATTTTAGGTCCTTTATTTTCCCTAAAAAACATAAATAATTTATCTGAAAGCCTAAATAGGAGAAAGCCAAGACTTTTTGCAGATGACACAAACCTCACTGCTTCCGGTGGTACAATTGATGATGTTGAAAATGCAGTGAACTCTGATTTGGAAAACCTCAGAATGTGCATGGTTAAACGCGAACAAACTGAGTCTAAACATTGCCAAAACTGAATTTATGCTCATAGGATCAAGATCTCTAGTGCATACTGTTTCAGATTCAAATTTAAACATAATGATTGAAAACAGACCAATTAAACAAGTGAAGGAATGCAAAACACTAGGAGTGATAGTTGATCAGCATCTCTCTTGGAAAAGTAACACTGAGAGTATCTGTAAGAAAATCACATCAGCCATTTCTGTTATTAGAAAACTAAACGAATTTGTTGACCCTGATACACTTGTTTCTATATATAACGCAAATGTACAACCATACTTTACTTATTGTTGTGAAGTGTGGGACATTTTTGGTGAAACTCAATCACAACGATTCCAAAAGCTTCAAAATAGATGCGCTCGAATTATTATGGACATGGGTAACGAAGTTAATGCCCAAATCGCATTAAATTCGTTAGGATGGGAGACACTAAAAGTACAAAGAACTAAAGCTAAGGCAAAATTAATGTTCAAAATTTTGAATATGTCTGGGCCTAAAAGCCTAACAGACCTTTTTACCTACATGAATGAGAATACACATTACTGTCTCCGTGACAATGAAACAACACTCGTTGCATGAAAACAGCAAACAAATAGCATGAAAAAGAGTTTAATGGGGCAAAAATATGGAACTCAGTGCCTAAAGAAATCAGAGGAATTAGGTCCCAGTCTCTATTTGAAAGAAAAATTGCTGCTCATGTTACTAAATAATATATTTATACATACATATATATCCTTTATTGTAATTAGTTATCTATATGTTTTGTTAGTTGTCTATATTGTCAATTTTGTCAATTGGAACAGTTAGATTATTTCTATTTTCTTTTATTTGATTCCATAAGAGTCATAACAACACTTATATATAATAACTTTTGAACACACGCCCTTCGTGGAAATCAATGTTTTTAATTGACGTAGTTAGCGTGTCAAAATAAAATCTAAATAAAATCTATTTGTGCTGTTTACTGTAGTTCTATTTGCTTTTAATGCCCGCAGCAATCTCTACCTTGCAGGTACCCTAGTATAGCTTTATATATTGTGGTATATAGTCTTGTATCGTAACGTTGTATAGCGTTGTATAGTGTCGTATAGCCTTATATAGTGTTATAAGTGTTGTATAGTGTCGTATAGCCTTATATATTATTGTATAGTGTCGTATAGTGTTGTATAGTCTTGTATAATGTCGTATAGTCTTGTATAATTAACATTGTGTAGTATCGTATAGTATATATACTGTCGTATAGTGTTGCATAACGTTGTGTAGTGTTGTATAGTGTAGAATAGTGTCATTTATAATCTTGTATAGTGTCATAATTTTTATAGTCTTGTATAACGTTGTATAGTATCGTATAACCTTACATATTGTTGCATAGTCTTGTATAACGTTGTATAGTGTTGTACAGTGTTGTATAGTGTCGTATAGCATTTATATATTGTTATATAGTCTTGTATAACGTTATATAGTGTTGTATAGTGTCGTATAGCCTTGTATATTATTGTGTAGTGTCGTATAGAGTTGTATACTTTTGTATAGTGTCATATAGTCTTGTATAACGTTATATAGTGTTGTATAGTGTCGTATAGCCTTGTATATTATTGTGTAGTGTCGTATAGTGTTGTATACTCTTGTAACTCTTGTGTAGTGTCGTATAGTCTTGTATAACGCTTTATAGTGTCGCATAGTCTCGTATAGCCTTACATATTGTTGTATAGTCTTGTATAACATCAGTGTATATTTAATAGATAATTACTGAGGCCAACGGCATTATTCGATATATTGCAGCCAGCTGAGGCTGAAGGCCGAAGCTGGCTGCAATATATCGAATAATGCCGTTTGGCCGAAGCGCAAACGAAACTATTTCTCTATAAAGTTGAGCTGAAAGGACTCACAGTGACCGTTTTGGCAGTGCTTCAGGCGCCCGATGATATTGTATGAGGGGTCTTTAGCACTGTCAACTTCTCATCTTGAGATGTAGTCACGTTATCGCGTGTACTTGTCAGGATGACGAAGGATTGCGAATAATGTCTGTGTGCACTGATACACGCTGCATTATTTTTAATAATGCTGTGTGCACGCTGCATTATTTTTAATAATGCTGTGTGCACGCTGCATTATTTTTAATAATGCTGTGTGCACGCTGCATTATTTTTAATAATGCTGTGTGCACGCTGCATTATTTTTAATAATGCTGTGTGCTATTTTAGCCCGTATAAAACATTTACCCCTGGGAATTTCCCTACAATCAAAAAAGACCGCTCCCGTTTTTCAGAAGAACGCTAAAACTTCTCGACATTCGCTGATATAATGCAGAGAGAAGACAATAGGTTATTATGACCGTCAGTAATTATTGTTGTATAACCTTGTACATATAGTATCGTAAGTTCATTAATGAGTTCACCTGCTAATAAGATATGTAGCTTTTGACAGTTCTTTATAAAAAAAACATACAGACAGACAGGATATATAATAGTGTTATGCGCTTCCATTATTAATAGTGTTATGATATATATAATGCTGTAGTGTTGTTATGGTATACATAATGTCAGTCCTTGGCTCTTGTGCATTATATTTAACCATTATTAATAGTGTTATTAACTGTGAGTCATTCCAGGTTATTACTCTAGAAGTGACCACACTTGACTTTGTGTCTAAGAATATTGCAAAATCCGCAAATTAATTTAGTGACAATCGCATAATAGCTAAATGTGTGGAGGTAGCCCTGTGGGCCATATTATACATATATTGTCGGAGAAATAAGCCGTGGAATGACCCATAATTACTTAATTTCTATTAGCTACTATTGTTTGGAGTGCTCAGAAAATGGACCTGTTTCATTACAGAGAACTGTTTTCTTAATTTTAGAATATTTTTGTAACATGTACAATAAAATGCGATTTTCATTGTTTAAAAATTATAATAGTGTTATGTTTCCATTATAGTGTTATTTAGTTTTGAATTATCCACGGATTATAAACAGATTTTCGACAACCTAACCCAAAGTTTTGACCGCGAGGCAGCACTTTCGTTGCGTTAGTAACTTCTAGTAACAATTATGCGCCGAAGGCGAAGTGATTACCGGTGAATATGATTACCGGTGAATATGATTACCGGTGATTAATGGTGAATATGATTACCGGTGAATATGATTACCGGTGATTAATGGCTTCTTGTGTGATTTTATTGCTTTATTACAAAGTTGTTTTCCTCGATTTCTGCTTAGAATATAAATAATGCTTAGAATATGACTTTTTTACCATTAAAAAATAGTTTCAGAATTAAAAAATAGTTTCTGTTTAGCATTATTTTGTTCAGGAAATGGCTGAGAGAATTGGTAAAGTGGAATGTAAAACTATTGCTCCAATGCCTCGAAATAAAATTTTAATACACTTTTCACTTTACAAGTTTCGAAAACATAATACAGCGGCAGAACACTATACAGCACAATGAAAACATGACATATCAAAAGAAATAGTATCGTACAAATTGAGATATATATAGGATACAAAACAAAATGGTTTTAAAAGAATATCACGCCGGGCAAGGTTTTTCCCAACAGTGGGGATAGTTTTTGCTATGTTTGTTTAAAATTAATGTTTCGGAGTTTTAAATAAGTTTTAAATTTGCTGTTTTGGTGTAATGTACTCAGGTGAATAAGATGCTTGTGATATTACTCTGAGTGTATATCCACACCGGGCAGGCTTGAAAAATATGCCTGGCCACGGTGGGACTCGAACCTACGACCTTTGGAATACTAGCCCCATGCTCTGCCAACTGAGCTACGCGGTCAGGTCGGTTCGAGCATTTAATATTTTGGAACTGAGTCTAGTTCCTTCGATATCAGTATAATCTAATAATCATGATATTTGCTGTTTTGGTGTAATGTACTCAGGTGACTAAGATGCTTGTGATGTTACTCTGAGTGTATATCCACACCGGGCAGGCTTGAAAAATATGCCTTGCCACGGTGGGAATCGAACCTACGACCTTGGAATACTAGCCCCATGCTCTGCCAACTGAGCTACGCGATCAGGTCGGTTCGAGCGTGTAATATTTCGGAACTGAGAGTCTAGTTCCTTCGATATCAGTATGATCTAATAATCATGATATTTGCTGTTTTTATGTAATGTACTCAGGTGAATAAGATGCTTGTGATGTTACTCTGAGTGTATATCCGCACCGGGCAGGCTTGAAAAATATGCCTGGCCACGGTGGGAATCGAACCTACGACCTTTGGAATACTAGCCCCATGCTCTGCCAACTGAGCTACGGGGTCAGGTCGGTTCGAGCATGTAATATTTCGGAACTGAGTCTAGTTCCTTCGATATCAGTATAATCTAATAATCGTGATATTTGCTGTTTTGGTGTAATGTACTCAGGTGAATAAGATGCTTGTGATGTTACTCTGAGTGTATATCCACACCGGGCAGGCTTGAAAAATATGCCTGACCGACCTGACCTGACCGCGTAGCTCAGTTGGCAGAGCATGGGGCTAGTATTCCAAAGGTCGTAGGTTCGATTCCCACCGTGGCCAGGCATATTTTTCAAGCCTGCCCGGTGTGGATAT